CTAAATCACTCTTGGCTCTCCCGCCACCATGGCCTTTGAAGCCCTCCGGAGCTGGTGGGAATGACTTACTTGGATAACGTCATCCACCTCGGCTCGAATGACAGGGCCAAGAATGCCAAGATGCTCTTCAGACTCTCCCCGAGGGTCCCGTTTGGTGAAAGTGCCGTCCAGGTATTTTTGGAAAACTACTTTCTTGTATACGGTGTCCTCTGGAACCTCACTGGTGTCTTCATCATTCATTTCACTGAGATGATAAAGACAGAATTTTTTTTACAAGAACAAATGAAAGACCATTCAAAGAATTTAGGAGCCGAGACCGGTTTGGTTCAGTGGATAGAGCATCAGCCTGCGGACTCAAGGGTCCCAGGTTCGATTCTGGTCAAGAGCATGCACATTAGTTGCGGGTACATCCCAGTGGGGGGTGTGCAAGAGGCAGCGGGTCGATGTTTCGCTCACTCATCGATATTTCTAACTATCTCTCTCCCTTCCTCTCTGTGAAAAATCAATAAAATATATATTAAAAAATTAGCATACAAAAAAAAGAATTTAGGAAATGGTCTCTGTTTCTGGATATAACATCTAACATAGAGAAGATATTTAACACATTTGATGAGCAAATGAGGGAAAATATAAATGACTAAAAAACACAAGCCAGTTAGCTATCCAGCTGCCAGCTCAGATATCATTTCTTTGGCCTCGGTCAGATCTCTGGAAGCATTCCTCCATTTCTATAGTAGTATTATCGTGCATATAGTAAAACCCTATAGGGTTTCAGCATTTCTGTAGTCTATACAGTAAAGTATGTGTCACTTATCTGTGCGATTATCTATTAGTACCTGGCCTGTCACTAGAGGAGAAGCCCCATGAGGTAGGGATTGTGCCTAGTTAGCTCACGGTTTTAATGCCAGTGCCTCACAGATTACCAGGCACCAGGCTGCAGCAGAGGAACACATATATGCTTAGCTAGTTTGCCCAGAATTATCTCCTGGGACTGCTGAAATTACGTTTCTGGCAGTAGTGGAAAAACGAGAAGAGATGAAAACACTGGCCAAACCTTTCTGCGTATTTTGCGTAATCCCAGGATATTTCTTCCGCAGCAATGTAGTAATACTTCCTGTTTCCGTTGCTGCTCCGGAGGTATGATGCTGCAATGCGGTCCGGGTTTCTGGAGGAGGTGATGTCGGTCCTAACGTCGGTTTGGTAAGGGTCATCGTAGGCCACAAGGTCCATTTCTCGAGAGTCTTCTTCACTGCTCTTTTGTTTCTTCCTCGGTGTGATCTCAATGAGCTCTCCATTTTCTCCACTGAAGCCAAACACAACTTCTGGATCCAGTTCGCTTGTTATAGAGGTGTTATAGAGGGGAGGAGATGGCTGCGGAGATGGCATCTGACCAAAGTCTGAATAAGGGAAAGTATCATCAAATTCTGGAAGAAGCGGGGATGGACTGGATTCGGAAGTGTAGGCTGTTTGAGCAAGGTCTGGAGGAAGTGATGTCTGCCTGAGCTCAGGAGGAAGGCCTGTCTGAGTGAAGTCTGGAGAGGGAGTTGCATGGCTGAAGTTTGGAGAGGGAGTCTCCTGGCCCAGGTCAGGGGAAAGGGTTGTCTGGCCAAGGTCAGGGGGAAAGATCGTCTCTCCAAGGTCAGAGGGAAGGGTCATCTGGTCGAGGTCATGGGGAAGGGTCGTCTGGTCGAGGTCAGGGGGAAGGGTCGTCTGGCCGAGGTCAGGGGGAAGGGTCATCTGGCCGCGGTCAGGGGGAAGGGTCGTCTGGCCAAGGTCAGGGGGAAGGGTCATCTGTCCGAGGTCAGGGGGAAGGGTCGTCTGGCTGAGGTCAGGGGGAAGGGTCGTCTGGTTGAAGTCAGGGGGAAGGGTCGTCTGGCCGAGGTCAGGGGGAAGGGTCATCTGGCCGAGGTCAGGGGGAAGGGTCGTCTGGCCAAGGTCAGGGGGAAGGGCCGTCTGGCCAAGGTCAGGGGGAAGGGCCGTCTGGCCGAGGTCAGGGGGAAGGGTCATCTGGCCGAGGTCAGGGGGAAGGGTCATCTGGCCGAGGTCAGGGGGAAGGGTCTTCTGGCCGAGGTCAGGGGGAAGGGTCATCTGACTAAGTTCAGGAGGAATGGTTGTCTGCCAGACTTCACGTTCTGAGGAAGGGGACACTGGTCCAGTGTCGGCAGGGAAGGACTGGGTTCCTCCATCGTAGTCAGGCATCTGGCCAGGCTCTGGAGAAGCTGCGTGACTGGGGCCCGTAGGGAACTGCGTTTGGTCAGGGTCTTGACTCGGGAACGTTTGGTAGAGCTGTTCCGGGGGCACTGTCTGGTACGCGTCTGGCGAGAAGCGTGTCTGCCCGGTGCTGTCTGGGAGACTGTGATTATGGTCAGGAAGGGAGGCTGCCAGGCTGAGGTTCCCACGGGGGGATGTCTGAGCGAGGTCTGTGGGAAGAGACGTCTCGTTGGCCTTGGGAAGGACGTCCGAAAGGGTGCGGTTGCTCTCTCTTCTGGGGAAGTTCCGTGGAGGGAGGGGAGCGTGGTGCACAGGCTTCTTTTTCCGTGTCCGAATGAGAAACGTGCTGTTCCTCATGCTGCTAGTTCTTCCAGGTCTTGTCTGTAGAAATTTATGCTTCACGCCAGAAAACTTTGGGTGGCCACCCTGCTTTCCATGCCTGTGGGCTAGAGGGATGCGTTCTCCCCACGTCTTGGAGGCATTCTGGGGGCTGTCCCACCGCTTATTCACCGCCATGTCTCCATCAGCCTCTGGGACTATTTCATAGCTACCTCTTTCAGAAACCGCGTGCCATCTCTGATTCAAAACTGTAGATAGAGTCCTGTGTTTTAAGAGTGACAGATCACTGGGAAGGTCCTTCCAGGGCCCCACGATGGGAGAAGAGTTGCCTTGGCTTAAATTTCCCCTGGTTTTATGTCCTAGAAATTTCATCTGGGAGAACCTGTGCCTTGCCTCGAATCTCTTACGTAGAGCCTGCCCTTGAATCCTTCTGAATCCTTCTGCACCACGAGGTCGGAGGCTTGTCCCTGTGACCTCTGGCTGTAGAGGGTCCTCCTCAGGGTCTTCAGAATAAGAGCTGGAATGCTCCGCTGCAGAAGGGCTGAGAGTTGAATTCTTTTCTAGGCCGGGCCCCACCTGGGGACCAGCTGAGGTGGTTTCAGAGTGAGGAAGGGTTTTGTTAGGTTCTGCAAATTTATTGTCCATGAGCCTGCTAATGTCGCTTGGGAAAGAAGAATTTGAATCAGCAGCTGAATCAGGACTTGGAGGAATGAACTCAGAGCTGTTCTCCAGGGCTATGGCAGTAAGATTGAACTCATCTTCCTCCTGATTCCGTGATGAATTTCTGAATGACCTAATTCCTAATGATAAAGCCAGTTGATCCTGGTAATCATATTCAGCAGAATCTCCTTCACCTTGGTTTTCTGGAAACTCTCGCATTTTCCGTGTATCCATGGATGTAGATGGTAGAGGTTCATATATTTCATATTCATCTTCTTCCTCACTCCGGAGACACTTAACATCCCTGAATCTCAGCCTTAGGTTTCTGCTCCTTGGATTAGAATTCATGGTAGTTAACATCCAAGTTCCTAGAGAAGCAAGGCAGACAGAATAGAGAGCTTTAAGTCCAGAAAAACATATACTAGGTGTACCTGTTAACAACAGTGGATTTTGTAATCAAAGAAAACGCGATAATTTCAAGAGAAACAGCAAAAGTGCTTTATTCAAAGTAATGCCCATCGCTAGCTACACATTTCCCCCATCTTTCAGGTAATTTGTGGGTGCCATTCTAATAGAACTTTTACTGTTTTGAGGCAATCCATTCAGAAACCCAATTTTCCACTTCTTTGTTCGTTTTGAAGTGCTGCTCAGAAAGTGCGTGTGCCATCAGTCAGAACAGTGGTAATCTGAAGGAGCAAGGTTTGGTGAATACAGCGGGTGGGTTAATACTTCCCAGTCAAGATCTTTTAACGTGTCTTTAACTGGTTTTGAAGTGTGTGATGCTGTGTCATCATGAAGCAAAATTACTTTGCCATGTCTTCTGGACCATTCTGGTCATTTCACGATCAAAGCATGGTTTAAATTGATTATGTGTTGTCGGTAACAATCAGTATTAATGGTTTCATCTGGTTTTAGAAGCTCATAATACAGCACACCTTCCTGATCCCACCAAACGCAGACGCGATTTGGCCTTGAAGTCGATGTTGACAGTTGACCTGGATCAACCCATGATTTTGTGCATTTGGGATTCTCAGAATAAATCCACTTTTCATTGCCAGTCACAATTCGATGCAAAAAAAGAATTTCTTTTATGCCATTGAAGCAACATTTTACTGATGACTTTTTGGTTTTCTATTTGTCTTTTGTTCTCTTGACATGGCACCCATTTTTCTTCCTTTAAAATCTTTCCCGTTGTTTGTAAATGATCGGAAATTGTTTTGCTGACAACATTTAATCTTTCTGCAAGTTATTTTTTAGTTTGACATGCATCTTCATCCAATAATGCTTGTAATTGTTGGTCTTCAAACTTTTTTGGTTGACCTGGACTTTCTTTGTCTTTCACATCAAAATCATCACTTTTAAAGCATTTAAACCAGCGTTCACAAGAACATGAGATGGAGCATGTTCACCATAAGCTTCCCAAAGTATATGGTTACTCTCAGCAGCACTTTTCTTCAAAATAATGAATTAAAACTTCCACAAATGCTCTTTTTTTGGGCTCGAAATTCAACATTTTTAAGTGTAAAACTATCTATGATGTTAACACTTTCAGAAAATTTGACATATGAAGTTTTGAAGCTTGCTATCAATACAACAAAATAGCATACCTATCATATCACATATATATCTACATATGTGTAACTCCATCTATTGAAAAAAATCCGCATTATTAACCGGTACAACTAGTAAAATCCCTAGCATTTATTGTGGTAGATAATTTTCAACAAACTTTGACCAGGGATACTCAAGTGTGGCCTGTGGACCTTTGCTGCCCTGTGAACTGTTGGTTATGGGTCCACAGAGCCACAAGCAGGAAAATGAGAGTCAGGCACTTAGGACACTTATGAGCAATTTGACATTGTTGTGACACCCAAGCATGTGATCCATGCACTTACCTTGCTTAACAGAATATGGACCAAAGGTATTGGTCAGCGGAGAGCAGGGAGAAAAAAATCATCATAGCGCAGATAGTTTGAGAGTCGCTATTTCAGAATATATTTTAAAATAGATGAATTGAGAATGAAATGAATTTTAATCATATCCATCTTGTTAGCTGCACCTCTTGTTTGAAAACTGTAGTTGGGGGAAGATGGTGATATCTACCCCCAGAAATAAGAGACATTTAGGTATTTCCAGCTGACCAATAATTCACATGGGTCCAGGGAAATTTTGAATCTCTTTGAAATGGTGTGATTTGCCGGCACACTGAAGATTTCCTGGGAAGTGTCCAACAGTTACCACTTGCTGAGCATCTACTGATGCTGGACACTTGGTGGCACATATTATAATTAACTAGAGGCCCGGTGCACAAAATTCATGCATGTGGAAGGGGGTGTCCCTCAGCCCAGCCTGCACCCTCTCCAATCTGGGACTCTCAGGGGATGTCCAACTGCCAGTTTAGGCCCGGCCCATGGGGATCAGGACTAAACTGGCATTCGAACATCCCTCTCACAAAATGGGACTGTTGGATCCTAACCACTCACCTGACTGCCTGCCTGATTGCCCCTAACCACTTCTGCCTGCCAGTCTGATCACCCCCTAACAGCTCCCCTGTCGGCCTGATTGATGCCTAATTGCTCCTCTGCTGGCCTGATCACCCCCAACTGTCCTCCTCTACCATCCTGGTTGCTCCCAACTACCCTCCCCTGTTGTTGCCCCCAACTACCTTTCCCTGCCAGCCATCTTGTGGCAGCCATTTTGTGGCAGCCATATTGTGATGATATGTGTGGTGTGGTGTGAGGGCCACCTAGGCTTTTATTAATATAGATGACCAAAGCAACTCTGTTAGCTGCTGTTGTTCTGTGTGGGTGTGTTTTGTTTTTTCAGATGAATAAACAGCATCAGTGAGGTCAGGTCAGCTGCCCACGGTTATACCAGTGTCGTGTGGCCAGGCAGGATTTGAACTCAGGGCTGATGAACTCCAAAGCTCACGTGCTTTCCAGGGTGCTGTACCGTGTCTGAGGCCTAGGCACTATATCTGATGATCACTAACCCTGGCACACATGGCTGTCTTATAAAACTGGAAAGGCCATTTTGATAAAAGAAGTGTCTTTTTGAGACCGAATGTTCACGCTTCCTCCTCAAAGTCATGCGGTATCTTCTGCGGATGTGTGCCTTACTTCTCACTGACAGAAAAAGATGAACGGAACTCACATTAAGGGCTGGGCCCACTGAGGCCATTCATTCCCCAAAGTGAAGTCATGACAAGTATCAGAAGGGAAGCCTGCAAGTAATCCGAGAGCTGAGCCCGGACCTGAGCCTGGAGCGCTGCGGCAGACCTAGGGTCCAGGCGTCCCCGTCCCGCGCCAGGCTCTTACCCACGTTGTCCATCGTGACGGTCACCGATTCCCCATGCATGGGAAAGAGCGTCAAGGTGTCCTCGTGCCTCTTCCCGTAGACGAAGGAGTGCCCAGTGAAGTGGATGGTCAGAAAGTCGTCCTGGGTGCCCATGCTGCAGAAGTGCCACTGGATGGTGTCATCAAAGCAGAACCCGAGCGTGGAGATGCTGTCGGGCACGAAGCCGTTGATGGCTGAAAGAGTAGAATCGGTTAGAATGCCAGGCCCATGCCAGCCAGCGGGCACGTGTATGATACCTACAACACACGTCCCAACGTTCATTTGGTTGCATCAAAGCAGTGACTACCTGAGACCAGCTCTGCCAGGTTTAACATGTGACAACAAGGTCACACCCAGACTCCCCACAGCAGTGACTCTGAACTTAAAACTGCAGCACATGGCTCAGGGAATACCTACTGTTCTGAGTGTCTTACTGCACACGTCACACCCCTCCCACAGAAAGACTGCAAAACTCCCGGCTCCCCATACACACTAACCTTTTCAGTGTGATTTGAAAATCGGTTTTGAGTTACTTATGTTGTTTCTGCCCTGGCCAAAGAGTATCACCTTGCACCCACAATGTCTATTGTGCACCCCAGATACCACAGGCCAAGGGGTGCAGCCCCTTCCTTTACCACCCCCATCCCTCACCTGTTCTTCTCTGCCCAGAGCATGTACACAGGTACACATACACACACACACACACACACACACACACACACACACACACACCCCTACGGAGCAGGAGACCAAGAAGACATGTAAGGATAACAAGCTTTTGACCTCTCACTGTAAAAAGGTTCCATTTTGGCTCAGTGGATAGAGTGTTGGCCTATGGACTGAAAGGTCCCAGGTTTGATTCCGGTCAAGGGCATGTGCTTTGGTTGCGGACACATCCCAGTGGCGGGTGTGCAGGAGGCAGCTGGTCGATGTTTTTCTCTCATCGATGTTTCTAACTCTCTGTCCCTCTCTCTTCCTCTCTGTAAAAAAATCAATAATATATATATATATTTAAAAAATATATATATTAAAATATATATATTATATTTATGTAATTTCGTCATCAAATCCCCAGATGAAGGTGAAGCTGAGATGAGAGTTGGTTCTCATCCATGTCTGCCCCTAGGCTCCGCCACACTTCGACCACATGAGTGAGAAGGTGATGGACAGAGAGGAGAGCGTGCTCTACTCACTGCTCATGATGTTTGACTCGTAAAACTTAGGGTCGTCACGGTTCACCTCCTCGGGATTCTCACAGAACTTGTAGATGTTGTCTTCAATGTACCAGCTCTTGTTCTCATCGAACACAGCGAACACGGCCTGCTGCTCGATGTCTGCCGCTCTCTGCGGAGAAAAGAGCTGCATTCTAACATCCCCCCCGAAACCCACAGCTCAGACACCCCAGGGCACGGTCCTCGGGGCCACGGAAGCCACGCATTCAGGCCTTGGTGAGAGCCCCCTGTGTGCAAAGCCCTCGTGAGAGCCAAAGGTATTGCACAAAAGCAGATCAGGAAATTCAGAGACTAAAATATCCTAACAGAAAAATCCCATTTGTCATGGCGACTGTCATTCTGCTTATCTCTGTGATGGAACACCTTTCTACCGGACTGATGGACTGACGGGGTGTGCTCCGAACCATTGCAAGGAATAAAGCAGGAGGCTGCAGTAGGAAAGCTTCATACTTCTCCCTACGTGCTTCCTTTCCAGGTTCAATAAATTAGGGTCTTCCCAATGTTTGTTTCTGATTTTCCTAGCATATATTTATTTTGTATGCCTTGGATGAGACCTTTTTTAAAAAATTATAGCTTAGCCTAATTGCCTGTGAATTTAATGGAGCTTAGTAACATGAGACTCTTCTACAGTGAAGATCGGGTCAGAAGATCCAGGTCTTTGTCTAGTTCAATCTCGCTAGAGATGGACCTTGTCAAGGTGCAGTCTCCCCAAAAGCCATGTCTCCCGCGTATCTATCATCTCTCTTTCTTGTGCAGATCTCTACAGACAATAAGGATCAGTTCAGAGCCTTACACTCCTGCCAGGTGCTACCTCCCTGAGCCCCCAAACAACCTGTAATTCTCAGGGTGGGTATTACCAATCTCATACAAGGAAGAAACTAAGAGAGGCTCAGAGACTTGCACGCGGACAATAACAACAGACCTGGACTTTGAAATTAGAACAAAGCTTGGCTTCACTCCATAGCCTCGCCTTCTGCAGTGAGAGTCTGGGTGAGAATGGACAAGACAAAAAGTTCCCAAAGGAGTACATGCCCTCACAGGCACACTCCAGGGGACTACTTAGTGTAATGTTTTCTATTCCAGAAAAGGTCCGCTACTTAGCAAGGAGACCTAGTCTGTTCCAGCCGGAAGACATTCCTGGAATTTCTGAGTGGGTACGCCAAGGACAAAATACCTGTATGCCTCGCGTGTCCAGGGATCTGCTCTTACAAATCAGGAGTAGCCCTATGAGCCCCGAGGCAATGTCCCTTGTGACGTCCACATTACTGTAGTACGGTCTTGTTAAGCACTGGGCGTCATTGTCTGTGGGCTCATCAGACTCCAGAATATTCCATTTGTAAGTGTAGGTTTCCCCTGGTTGAACTGCTCTGATCATGGTGTTACTGCCTGAAAAAAAAATATAGTCAGAATGATTTTCATTTTCAAAATTATTTTTATGAGAATGAATGATACAGTGGAGCTCTCATTGCAAGCAATTACTAATGAGAAAGGAATATTCTTTTTATATTAAGATCCACTTAATAGAACTCTGGATTGCATGCAGTCATCAGGTCTTGTTCCCCTAGAGGCTGCTGTGGCAAGCATGTAAAACTCAAAGGCTAACACAGGCCAAATAAACAAGGTGTAAGTGTATGTGGCCGCAAAAAACAAAAGCTTCGATTGTCATAGAAACGTAGGTTTATTTCGATAGAGACATGCTGAATACAAAGGGCTGAAATAAATGAGTCATTGTTAACATAAAATAATAAAACATTTTAATAAAAATTAATATTTTTCTTGGACATTAACTTACCAGACCCGGAATAACGGCACAAATTAATAAGTGTAACACAAATAAACCTGTTTTTCTTGTCCTCCAAAAGCGAAATATTTCCTGTTGTGCACACCAAACAAGTTAGTATAAGACTAATGACGTGGCCATCAGCTGCTAAAATATTTGCTGCTGATATTAGTGGAGAGAAATGGTGCATCTGTGCATAAGGCGAGTAAGGGAAATGAATGCAACACAATTACAGTAATCAGTCATTAGCGAATGTTGTAGTTCATTATTAATAATTATGTAGAACAGGATATTGTAAAAATTAAGTTACAACATTTTTATTAAAATGTTTCTTACATACGTTATATTGGCTGGGCTACAAAAATTTTCGTTGTGGGCTGAATGTAGCCCATGAGCCTCGAGTTTGACATGCTTGCTGTAGGGTAAATAACCCCTGAGATGATCAGGGTTTCCTGTGGCTTTTAGGATCCCTGCCCATGTGTGGATACTACCTGACTGCACAAGGTTTACTACTGATCAAGAGGGATAGTAGAAAAAGATGGTAGCTTCTCGGATGTCAATAGTTTCATTCAGGAGAAGTGAAAGATTCAAACCTGAGGAGAAAGAAGAGTTGGCTTCGTCTTCAAAAGGAGAGAAGGTCACGCCATGAGGGTAAATGCTGTAGGGGCGGCTGGCCATATTTTTGAACGTGATCTACAAAGTTAACTCAGATTCATTATTCGGGACTTAAGGCTGATCATGCGCATTAATAGAGGATGTTAACTTTGCATGCTCACTTGTTGGATGGTGTGTGCATGCATGCAATCTTGTTCTGTTTACCTGAGCAGAAATCTCTCCGTCACCCGACAGAAGCATTTGAGAGAGTTTCACCTCACATGGTAGTCTGACCTTAGAAGTGACATTTCCTCACAGTACCCCACCCCCATATCCTTCCCGTCTCTTTTCAGCTCAGACCCCATCTGTTTCCATTTTCTGCTCCTCCTCTTCTCTACACCATGACCTCCTTCTCCGGCTGGCCAGATTTCCCAGAACCCCAGTCCTTGAGGCTGTGTCCTAAGGGCATGGCTAAGAGCCAGATCCTCAATTTCCAATGAGGTGTATTCATACTCCCTAAGAGCATCTCAGAGCAACAAAGAGAGGCTGCTTCTGGTCCTTTGGTTATTTTCAAATGAACAGAATTGGCCTTTTCTGCAGATGCCCTCCTAGCTCCGCCCATGCAGCAGTGAAGTATGGTCTTGGTAAGCACTGGGCATCGTTTTAGGAGCAGTATCGACACAGGGGTCCTGGTTAGGCTCCTTAATCTTCAAAAGAGAACCTTGATTATATATTTGGTTGATTGCCAAAGCATTTAGGTCATCTTCCATCTGTAGATAATCTGCATTCTAGAATCTTGCCAAAGATTGCAACCTTCAATTCTCTGCTTCCCGTGTTTATAAAAAGCTTGATGAACCTGGCCAGCATGGCTCAGTGGTTAAGCATCGTCCTCTGAACCAGGAGGTCATGGTTCAATTCCGATCAGGGTACATACATGCCTGGGTTGTGGGCTCGATCCCCAATATGGGCAGCGGATCAATGATTCTTTCTCATCATTGACGTTTCTACCTCTCTCTCCTCCTTCATCTCCGAAATCAATAAAAAAAATATATTTTTAAAAAGCTTGATGATGTGTCATAGCATTAAAGGAAAACTCTCTGAACAACACTCAGTCTCATGATAAAATATGTTTTTTAGTGTCTCTTTATCAGAGATCAGATTTCAGAGAATTATATACCAAGACCACAGTGAAGAATTTTTTCTCAATGGTATTTACTGTGATATTCTTAGCTATAATGAGAAACACTTTTATAAGGCTCTACAATATTTTTTAAAAACATATATTTTATTGATTTTTACAGTCAGGAAGGGAGAGGGATAGAGAGTTAGAAACATCGATGAGAGAGAAACACTGATCAGCTGCCTCCTGCACACCACCTACTGGGGATGTGCCCACAACCAAGGTACATGCCCTTGACTGGAATCGAACCTGGGACCCTTCAGTCCGCAGGCCGACCCTCTATCCACTGAGCAAAACCAGCTAGAGCTACAATATTTTTAGTTATTGTAAAAATTGTAGGGATTTTATCAAGGAATCTATCCATTGCATCGATAGCACCCTCTTTTCAATGATCCGTGGGAGAAATTCTTCTCTGGTTGCTGTGCTTCTTTTATGACTACTGTGATTCTGGCCCTAACAGATTTCCTTTTTTACTTTGGCTGCTAGAAAGCTCAGGAAATAAATTGCAAACAACCTTATAAGACCATATGCTAGGTGTTTCATTATACTTACCTTATCCTTGGTTTTCTTTTCTTTGTACCCAATATTATTCACCCCAATTACATTGACTATTTTGTTCTTTTATAATTTGATAAACTATCTCAAATTCTTTGTATTATGGGGTAAGCTATAAATAAGTGCAAATACTAAATAAAAAAAATAAAAATGGTATTTGAATTAAAAATTACATGGACAACTTTAAAAAAAACAAAACAGCCAGTACTTATAATGTCTTTTGTTACTTAACTTCTTTCACATGGGCCTACATTTCTGTTACTCACTTTGAGCGTGTCTCTGACCTGGGCTCTGATAATAGGGCCCAAGATCCCGTCTTCGTTGTTTCTGGGCTCCTCCAGGCGTTTGGTGAAGGTCTCATCTTGGTACTGTTTGTACACAACCTTCTTATAATGTTTTCCAATTTGGTTGGAGAAATTATCCAAGTGCATAGATCTGTATTTTCTTAAATTGAAATGAAATATTAAAAAAATTAATCATTTTCTCAAGTAGAGACCCCAGTAGGATGGGGAAATCCTGTGTTTAGAAGTTCTGCTCTTGGATTAGCTAAAAAAACAAAACCAACTCCTAATATGATTTGCAAAGTCTTGTTATCTTCCATCTAGTTGGAAAACTGGAATCCTCTGATCCATGATAAAGTTATAATCATGGTTAAAAGCAGCTTTTTAGATCTTCCTATCCCTTTGGTTACTAGAGCAGACCTTAGATATCTTTGAGGAAAGGTCTATCTGGATGAAAGAATGGGATATTTTTCTCAAGTCTTTCCTATCACTTCATTTATGGTACCCTGGTTGGCTTTCCTGGTATTTCTCAATTTCTAAAAGTACTTCCTCACTCCAGGAAGTTTTTACTATCTTTTTAAAAAATATATATTTTATTGATTTTTTTTAACAGAGAGGAAGGGAGAGGGATAGAGAGTTAGAAACATCAATGAGAGAGAAACATCAATCAGCTGCTTCCTGCACACCCCCAACTGGGGATGTGCCCACAACCAAGGTACATGCCCTTGACTGGAATCCAACGTGGGACCCTTAAGTCCAAAGACCAATGATCATATCCACTGAGCCAAACCGGTTAGGGCAATTTTTACTATCTTTGTTAGACATGCTCTGTGCTGCTGGCCTATCCTGTTTACCACCCACTCAGTCTAGGTACCAACTGAGAAGCCACCACCATAACCCAGCTTCTGCAGTTCTTTGATAAATGATTAGGAAGCAGCAAAAAGAACCACTTCACTCCTTGGTCCTCTTTATTACCTTAAAATACCTTGGTAAAAGCAGAAGCTCTGTGAGAAAATTTATCTATTTCATCCATTTATTTTGCATAATAAACAGCACTGACTGTTGCCAGAGAGACCCAGGTCCCTATCTTAGTTCTGTCAATTATTATATAATCTTGATCAATTCCTTTTTTGATGTTTTTAATAGCAAATACATTCAAATGATTTTGATTAGTGAGAACTCTCACTCACATACTATATCCTCTCAACCCCACCTCTCTACCTCTCTGCATTTTCTAAGTATTCACTTATATTAATATGTACAATTCCAGGTAATCTTTATGCACAACCCTTCCAAGATTTGGGAAGTTTTCAACCATTTTGTTTAAAGAAGCTTTCTTTCCCTTTCTCTTCTTTTCCTTCAGACTCTTACAGTGCACGTTAGTTCTTTTGATGCCATTCCATAATTCCTCATTCTTTTTCATTCATTTTTCTCCTTGTTCCTATAAGTGGATAATTCCAAATTACCTGTCCCTGAGTTTGCTGAATCTTTCTTCTGCATGATTGAATCTGGCATTAAAGCTCTTTATTGTTTTTTTTTCAGTTCTGTTATTGTATTCTTCAGTTCCAAGTTTTCTGTTTGGTTACTTTTATTGTTTATTAGACTTCTCATTCTGTTCACGCATTGTTTTCCTGAATTTGGTTAGTTGCCTGTCTGTGTTCTCTTGCACTGCAATGAGGTTTTTAAAGACGAGTATTGTACATTATTTATTTGTCAGGCACTTCATAGATCTCCAACTCTTTGAGGTTGGTTCCTAAAGCTGTATTAGTTTCCTTTCGTGGTGTCATATTTGCCTGATTCTTTGTGGCTTGTGTCGCCTTGAGCTGGTGTCTGTGCATTTAAAGAAGCAGACACCCTTTTCCAGACTTTACATACTGAGTTTGGCAAGCAAAGAACTCCTCCCAACAAGTGTCCCACTGATGGGATCGCTTTTGGGATGACAGCCAAGTGAGGTTGGATCAGGTCACATGGCTGCTGGCGGGCAAGCCTTTACCAAGAGCTCAGATGGGTATGGGTCCTGTCTGGTCCGTGGAAGATGGGACTGCCTCCAGAACCTTAGTCAGTAGAGCTGGTGCTGGAATAATGGTCCATTTTAGGGTCCTCAGTGGAGTTTGCAAATGGTAGGCCTGTTACCAGGTGTGTAGATGGGTATGGCTCCCATCTGGTCCTTGGGAGGGCTCCCATCATGTTCCTGGATAGGCCCTGATGGGCAGGACTGCTTCTGGACTGCAGCTGGGAGGCCTGGGAAGTTTTCATTCCCAGGAGCTGGGTTGTAGGACCACTTCAAGATCTGCACTGGGACCAAGGCCTGCAGGCCAGCCTCCAGGCTCATGGACAGGGGTCGCTTGTCAAACAATGTTGTAGCAGGAACTGTAGCTGAGTCCGTAAGAGGACGAGGCTGCTTCTAGGCTTGTAACCTGGACTACAAAGAGCAAAACTATCACCTGAGCATGACTCGCCTTCTCAAAACAGCCTTCCGAGGCCTTGGCTTTCCTTGTGATTTTGTGTTTCTACCTGGATTGCAAAGCTCTCACAAAGGCACTTTTGTTTGTGGATGGCTGGCAACTATTGTTGCTGCCGGGGAGAGGGGTAAGAGCCCCCCTATTCTACCATCTTGCTCCCCTGACTTTTTAGTTTAACAATGGAGAACTTCTTATAATAGTGCATAAAGCATGTTTGCATCCTTTTAAAACAGATGCATGGTATTCCATGTCTGGATATCCCATAGTTTATTAAACCAATTTCCTATTGATGGACATTTAGGGTTGTTTCCAATCTTTTGCTACTACTAACAGGGTAGCAATGACTATCCTGTATGTACAACATTTTCCCTGAGAATGGTATATCTCAATAGTAAATTCTCAGGTTGAGATTGCCGGGCCAAAGGGTGTAGGCATTTATAATTTTGATACAAATGCCAGATTATCCTCTAGATGGCTCTTCCAGTTTACTCTTCCACCAGCAAAATGTTTCTCACAGCCTTGCCAAGAGGTTACGTCACCTGCACGGTGAGTCTGCTGGATGGAAAACAGTATTTCCGAGAAGTTTAATGTGCATTTCCCTCACTGTAAGTGAGCCTGAGAACTTTTTTCAGATGTTTCAGAGCTATTTTGAATTTCCAGATTTATTAATATCCCTGACCTATTTCCTACTCTACTTAATAAATAAGCTGTCTCTCACTTCTAGAGATAAAGTGAAGCTCTTAGGAAGGATTTAACACAGTGCTTGGCAATAGCAAACATCCAGCAAGTGGTAGCTGCTATTATTATTAATTATTATTATTATTATTATTATTAGAGGCCTGGTGCACAAAATTTATGCATGGGAAGGGGGGGTGTCCATCAGGCCAGCCTGCACCCTCTCCAATCTGGGACCCCATGAGGGATGTCCAACTGCCCATTTAAGGCCAATCCCAGTGGTATCTGGCCTAAACGAGCAGTCGGATATCCCTCTCACAATCCAGGGCTGCTGGCTCCCAATTGCTCTCCTGCCTGCCTTCTTGATTGCCCCTAACCACTTCTGCCTGCCAGCCTGATCACCTTCTAACCACTCTCCTGACAGCCTGATTGTTCCTAACTATCCTCCCCTGTAGGCCTGGTCCCCCCCAACTACCCTTCCCTGCATGCCTGGGTCCCCCCCCAACTGTCCTCACCCACAGGCCTGGTTCCCCCCCAACTGCCCTCCTCTGCCAGCCTGATCACCCCAACTGCCCTCCCCTGAAGACCTAATCTCCCCCAACTGCCCTCCCCTGCTGGCCATCTTGTGGTAGCCATCTTGTGTCCACATGGGGACAGCCATCTTGTGTGTTGGAGTGAAGGCCAGTTTGCATATTACTTCTTTATTATATAGGATTATTATTATTATTTCCCCTTTGGTGAGTTTAGGGTAATTCCAGGTAGATTTTGAACAAGACCTGAATGGAACCCAAAACATGTACTCCCCTGAGAGCTGTCAACTCCTGACACCTCACCCATGTACCCAGGACCCTGTGGAACATGCCTGAGCCTTTGCTCAGTGGTCAGAACCCCCAAACTCACTTGTTCATGTTCAGTGGGATGAAGGGTGCGTAGTCCCAGATGACTTCCTCGGCAGCGATGAAGTATTCCCATCTCTTCATGTGCCGCCGCTGCTCCAGCGTCAGCGGCTTGTAACTCCGCGTCCTCTTTGCGCAGTTTTCAATGTTGATGTGAGCCTGCATCCCAGCTGAGTTAGTACATAGAGACAGTGAAAGAATTGGGGAGAAGGAACTAAGGCTGAGCAAACTGTGTAACTTTTCAATAGCGGAAGGGTGAACTGACGCTGGTGAAAGCAAGGGAGAGAAGGGAGGGCTGGAGCAGGGGGGGAATCTGGGGAAGATTGTCTTTGCTTCTTCCAGAGCAGAACATCTGTGGCTCCCAGACCCTGAAGACCCTATGACTTAGGTCTTGTTGATTTCTCCTTTTTCCTTTCATCTGCCCCTTTATTTGTAAAAGCAAAAGAATACAGTAATACTGAATGAAATTGCTAAAAATTAAATAAGTCAATACAAAAGCAATTAACCTCAATAATGTTAGCTTTGTTGTTTTATGATCACGTGGGTGACAATTTCATCAGTTCAAATATAATTTTGACTGCTCAGTGCAAAAAAATACCACAGTACCCGAGTTGGTTGGGCACTGTCCCGTGCACTGAAAGGGTGGGTTCCTGGTCAGGGCACATGCCCAGGTTGCAGGTTCAATCCCTGGTTGGGGGTGTGCAAGAGGCAGCTCATCAATGTTTTTCTTTCACATTGATGTTTTTCTCTGTCCTTTTTTCTTCCTCTCTTTCTATAAATCAATAAAAAAATCTTTTTTATATAAAATAAAATTGTCTCAATCCTCTTTCTTATGTGTTTTGCTTGTACATATTTTTTTGGTAACAAAATAATTTCCTATACTAATATCATTTACCTATAATTTAGTCTCTGTTTATGGGACTATATTTTTAAAGCGACTACGTGTAATAGAACAATGGGTCTTTTGTTTACATGAACCATGTGACAACTTGGGCTGATCTTCCCCCACCAGTTCCCTGGTATTCTTTCAAGCTCACTCCTCAGCTGCTTAGGTTTTATGGTTGAGGCATTCAGTGCACACTCATTGGGTTCCTCTTTGTGCTCATTTTGCTCTAAAACGAAGTCTTTTCATGTTAAAACTTCTGCACTTTCTGTAACTGGACACTTCTATCCATTTGCATGTTTGCCTTGTTCTGGCATCCAGATCTTTTCTTGTAGCTACATCCTAAACACCACAAGAAAGAACACCTCTGTGGGTGTTTCTCTCCTTCCTCCCTTTTCCTTCAAGGAAGTAGAGACCTTTTCAGCTTTTGCTTCATTTAAAACAGTCTTTGTCAATTCCTCCCCTTCCTCCACACCAAGGAAGGCTGTAAATCTACGTGGAGAATGTAAGTTCTCCTCCCAGGGACCAAGGCAGGTATGTCTGGAGTGTGGGTGGCTTAAGAAGGCAGAGGGTAAGGAGGGAGTAAGCGCCTGGGAAAAAGGGTCCTACATCCATAAGGAAGACTGTGGGAACGTTTCTTGCCTTGGAAGTGTTTGGCAGTGAGAGAGGAGATGACCCACGTCCCCTCGGGGCCCACCGTCATGTTTGCAGTCGTGGACGTGGCGCTGACGAGGGTCACGGCTGAGACCTTGTGCTGGTTCTGCTCCAGGACCTGGCCATTGAAGTGAATGGAGAACAGCTCTGGCCCAGAGCTCATGCCAATCAGATGCCAGCTGACGTGGTCGTAGGCACAAACGGCTATATCTGCGAGAGGAGAAGAGATGACAGGCAAAGCCAGGCAGTCAGCGCTCTGTGGTAAGAACCTTTTCACCCCAAAGGGATTGAGTACCTGCCGTTGTGCAAGGTTCTGAGGAGCAGACCCTCCAGCGGTGGTGCCTGCCCTAGAAACGGAGACATCAGAGGTAAGAGCCAGCAGGCATTGCCACGCATTGCAGTGAGGGATGCTACAGAAGGAAGGGCAGAGCCCAGAGAGGGGCCTTGGTTCAGAGACGGATTGTAAGGGACTAAGCCGAGGAGGGAACCAAGCAGGTGGCCACCACCCTGGATTACGGGGACCGAGGGGTTTCCCCGGATGCAGGGCTTTCATTGTTAGAACTGGGACCGTCCTGGGCAAGCCTGGCAGCTGGGCACCTACAGCCAATCTGGGCTCAGCGGGAGGGAGGCACCTGTCTCCATGAGGGCCGAGTTCAGAGCCTGATCATCTCAGCGGGACAGAGAGCGGCAAGCTCTGCCAGAGGGAAGAGGTGAAGGTGGTTCAGGATGGCCGCCTGCACCTGCGCCCCTTGCTGGTCGCTTTAATGAGGCTGCCATGAATTAGCCTGTGGGTCACAGGCTCTCCTTAAAATGCAGAGTCCTCAGTGTGGCTCCCCGGGAGCATTTCCTGGGCAGAGTCCTGAGACTGAGCACAAAGGCTGAGTCTGCTCCTCCTTTGCCTCCTAGCGACCGGGAAAGGCTCCTTTGCTGCGTGGGAGACCCCAGCCCTGGCTTTTCCCCGTGGTCCGGGCTTTAAGTTTCAGATCCACAATCACTCGATCCAAGCACTCACACCTCGGGGCAGCAGGTGCTACCACAGAGGTGACATCGTGGGGCTGAGGGTCAGCTCTCACCCACAGAGGGGCTGAGGGCCTGTCTTTTGGGGGGCCATTACAAGACAGGCATCCTGACATCATGATGAGAGCGAGAAGCTGGACCTGAGAATGAAGCTGAAAGGTAGGCTTTGGTGAGGGTGTTTAGTACCTCAAAGAAACGCTCACATCGACTGGAGCATTCAGTACACCGTGTTAGCATTTACCTTTACTCGGTTTGTGTGCTCCCCAAGGCTGTTTACAAGCATTGAAGTCTCTGTTTCTATGAACATTTCCCTTCCCCGCCCTTCTGAATCCCAACGAGCCTGTCTTTTCCCACTATAAATCCATATACTCCATGCCCTGATCAAGGTATTATTTTTATTTTTGTGCCTATGGTTTGCTTCTGGGGGCTTCTGCGTATTTAACAGATGATTCGCTCGGCCAGGACTCAGACACAGCTTCTCCTTGGAACACGCCCCTTGAAGGCCCACAGTACCGGGCAGGCTATTTTACACGTAAAAAAAGTCTTAACTACCGTCTGTCCCAGGAGAGAAGTTAGTTCGTTTGTGTAAGTTAGCTCATCTCAACAACTAACCATGTACCGCACTGAGGCAGCGAATGCGCGAGGCAGCCCCAGGTAACTGCATTTGGACTGAATCCAAGCCGAGAGCCATGGGAGTGTTTGTGACAGCCCAGGCGGAAATGCAGTCAAATGAAATAGAAAACAGTTTAAAGCAATGTCCAGACCTTAATGCAGGACAAGTTTGGTTGGTGGTAAGTGAGGCCATTTGTGACTTTTCAGATATAGAGGACTCCTGAGAAACATAATAAAGTAATATTTTCATTTTTCTGCTTTTTTCTCAGGATCTTTGGTTCTAAGCATTTCTATCAGAGAGAAGTAAAAGTGGTGTAGGTAGGAGTCAGTCCTTTTAATAGTTGCTATGACTGAAAGAGTAAATATGCTCTATGCCTTTGAGTAGTTCTCTTCTATCACCATTTGAAGTGCTAGAAGTATTTCCATAGGCTAGTATTTCTCCTAATTTCCTGCTCATCATTACAGACTGCTCCCTGCTGACCCTCTCTCCCAGGGTTTCACCTTGAACACCCGTCCTGCGAGGCTTCCTCTGTGGGTGAAGGCGGGTCACTGTGCAGCAGGGGCCACAGAACCCACTGAAGGAGATGGAGCTGATATCCTGGAGGCCTTCCTGGAAGTGCAGGCCCAGGTGAGACCTGCTCAGAGCACTCCATCCAGTAATGCTGCACACCCCTTCCCTTAGGTAGCTTCCACTTTGCCTGTTGTACTTGCTGGTTTAAAAAACATGACAAAATCTCAACCTAGCTGGTTTGACTCAGTGGATAGAGTGTTGTTGGCCTTCAGACTAAAGATTCCAGTCAAGGTCACAGGCCCAGGTTGTGGACTCAATCCCCAGTAGGGGGCGTACAGGAAGAAGTCAATCAATGATTCTCTCTCATTGATGTTTCTCTCTCTTTCCCTCTCCCTTCCTCTCTGAAATAAATAAAAATATTTTTTAAGCCGAGACCGGTTTGGCTCAATGGATAGAGCGTCGGCTTGGGGACTGAAGGGTCCCAGGTTCGATTCCAGTCAAGGGCATGTACCTTGGTTGTAGGCATATCCCCAGTAGGGGGTGTGCAAGAGGCAGCTGATCGATGACTCTCTTTCATCTATGTTTCTCTCTATCTCTCCCCCTTCCTCTCTGTACAAAATCAATAAAAAATATATTTAAAAAATATGTTTTAAAAAGATGATAAAACCTTGAGGACAGCTGAGCTAGATCACCTTACCTTTCTGACTAAGAGTTGAAAGTAGTGGGTACTATCACCTTCCTTAGTGCCGGAGGGCAGCAGCAGCCTAAGGCACTATCGGAAGAGCACAACCCTGCGCGGTACCTGGCATCGTCCCGTTCACATAGCCATTGACTGTGTACATGACGGATGATGACGGGTTCCAGCTCTTGCTTTCATCAAACACAGCGAACATGAGCATCTGCTGTTTGTCAAACATCTTCTGACTCCCATCCTCAGTGAGGGTACCTGGGAAAGAAAAGACGTGCTTGTCAATAGCATCCCAGGTAGAAAACTCTCATTTGCTGTTCCAGGGTAGCAGAGCTGAAGGCAAGCAACCAATCTTAGTGATGTCAATGAGGAGAAACTCTTGTTTTCAAAATAGCATCTTGCCCTGGCTGGTGTGGCTCAGTTGTTGGGTATCAACCATGCACCAAAAGGTTGCTGGTTTGATTCCAGTCAGTGCACATGCCTGGGTTGCAGGCTCAATCCCCAGTAAGGGATGTGCAGGAGGCAGCTGATCGATGCTAGCTTTCAGATTGGTGTTTCTCTCTTCCTCCTCTCTCTCCCTTCTCTCCCTTCCTCTCTCTCTAAAAAATCAATGCAAGTAAAAAAATAAAAGTAAATAGCATCTTTATCAAACAACGATGATTGGGGGCTTATTAAAATCTTACTGCCACATTAACCATTTTCTCTGGTGCCTCATAGCCTTGAGGAATGGGGCTTTAAAGGTGAATTTGAACGGGCATAGAGAGGAAACTTTTGGTGATGTTAAGATTTTGTCAAAAGTATCATCTCCTCCTGTGTCAGTAGACAAATATACAGGTACAAGAGCTTGGTTGGTAAGAGCTCAGCTCTCCAAGTTTCGTCCCACCACCTTGCTGTTCATGGAATGGCTCATCAGAAAACTGGTTGAGAGGATCAAGGTGAATTCTCATTTAAGGACAAAATGCAGCTGAAAGTAAAACGAAAGAAGAGCTTTTTATAAGTTTTAACTTTTTGTGTGCCATCCCAGTATCCTCTGTATAACAGGCAAGGAACACATGTGTGTGTGTAGTGAATAAATGAGTAGGAATTGATGTAGGGATGGTATGTGTGCCTGTGCAGACAGATGGCGAGTTCATTCCATTATTTCCCATAATATTCCATTATTGGCAGTTCGTGTGATTGTTTGTTTTTATGAAAGATGAGCTGAATTCTTTTCAGGTAAAATAAAAATCCAAGTTTGCTCCTAGAAGCCTAGACGATGCAATTTCTTATAAAAGTCAGTGTATTTGCAACCTGCTGCCCAAAGTGTTCCACTCTGTATAAGAAAGGAAGCTAGAGTTTTGAGTGTTTGTAGGCCAAATGACCAACCCAAACCTCCAACACGTTAGGCAAAGCTCCTCCCCAGTGCTATCAGCAGAGGGCAGGCTGTTGCACACTTGCAGAAAGACTTGGCCTAGAGGTAAATACACAGGCCACAGGGGCGTGGTCTCAGAACCAATTCCCAGACAAGGATTTACTCAGAGAGGCTCCAGGACTGAGACGGAGGAGGGATTGGAAGAACCAGAAGAGGACTCCAGACCCTCCAGTGCCAACATCCAACAGTAGTCTTCTACCCACACTCCCCCCTCTGCTCGATTTACTGAGAGGTTCCATGATTCCCCCAAGCCTTTCCAGTATAGTACTCCTTACCACTCCAACAGCTTTGCTAGTGTTGATTTCTTTACCTTTTTTACAAATAAGCAGAGGTCCAATCAGCCCTGAGTTGAAGTCCTGTATCAGATTTTCATAGGAGTAGTAGATGTACGTGAGGCATGGCGGGTCGTCGGGTGTGGGTCCACTGTCCTCACTGATGGGCCACTGGTAGGTATATTCATGGCCGGGAGCTACAGCATCGTCCAGCTTCTCTGCAGGGAACGTGTGGTCAGGGTAGGAGGCACCTGGAGAAGTAAAGGTCATGAGAACCCTGGGCCGTGCGGAGGCTCGCTGTGCCATCACTCTCCAGCTGGAGGAACGTGAGGCCTCCACAGAGCTACCTGTGCCTTTCCACAGTGAGCCTCCGTTGTTTGAAAGGATTCACATTGCACCCACTTCCCTGTCTATGTCATTAGTAAGGCTTTGAGTCCAGGTGATCTGAAGTGAATAAGACATGTTACTAGTACATTATTTAAGGTTTAATACGTTAATTTCCCAGGGTCTCTAAATAATTATTATTCAAATGTAATCAGAGAATCGAATCATCTTGGAGCAGCGAATCATTTCACAATATGAGAATGGGCTCTATCTTCTCTGTGGTGCTTGGTGAGACATCTTCCATTTGACCGCCTGCTAGCATGGGGTGTAGCTATATGCAGAGCTGTTTATACATTGTTTTGTTTTGATCTGTAAGTTTTTCTCTTCTTCTTTCCAACTGCTGCCACCCTCAGCCCTGTCTTGCGTTGTCACATCTCCATCACCTGGTTGTCAAAGTCCTTTCCCAGAGTCTTAGAGTCCGGCTCCCATAGACAGTCTAGTTGTCCTTATTGTATGAAATGTGTCCCACTCTCTGAAATTTAGATATCTTGCTTTGGTCCTTGGTGTACCCAAACACCCGCCATTAACACTTTGATGCCTACTCGTTTTTCTCTGCTGGTGGGAGAGGGGGAGGGTGTAGAAATTGGTCTTCCTTCCTGAAGAGAGGGAACTGAGATTCTGAAGATTAAAAGAATTGCAGAGGCTTGGGTGTGGCTTTCAACAACAGAAGGAAGCTGTGATAGAGATGGAGCAAGTGAGGTCAGGAAGGGGAGAGGTCAGCATCATAGAGAGCCAAGCGGGATGGGCAGCTTCCCCTGCTGGAGGCATTCCTCATTGATTGGGTGAAAGTGTCACTATCATTGGTGCCAGAATTTCTCTCTGGGATACAGTTATCTTTGGTACAAGAGCTTGATAAATTGCTTAAGGTGGAAGGTGAGACCTTCAGAGTGTTTGTGTGGGCAGACAATTGGGTAAAAAAAACAACCCTAACGTGTTTTATGTGGTAAAGAGCCAGTAGAAACTACTCTTACTGAAGTGACCGCACTCTTTGGGGAAAAAATGCTTTATATTTTTCCTACCCTTTCCCTGTTTATTTTCTTCTCCTTTTTATTCAAAATCCCCTTCCTTCCACCATCATTCTTGAGTTATAAATTATATACAATAAAGGCACCAATTTTAAGTATATCTGCTAAGGTTTGACAAATGTGTTCAGTCCTTTACACAATCCTGGTACAAGTCATCGATACACTCCAAATCGCCTAATTTCTGTGCATTCCTGGTCATTGCTGTCCCCGCCCTCTGCACCCAGATAACCACTGATTTGTTTTCTGTCACTTCATTCTGTTTTCCAATAATGTCATAAAAATGGAATAATACATTATGTATATGCTCTTGTGCTTGATTCATGTTAGTATGGTTTTTCTTTTTTATCCTTTTTTAAAAAAATATATTTTATTAATTTTGTACAGATAGGAAGGGAGAGAGATAGAGAGTTAGAAACATCGATGAGAGAGAGTCATTGATCAGCTGCCTCTTGCACACTCCCTACTGGGGATATGCCTGCAACCAAGGTACATGCCCTTGACCGGAATCGAACCTGGGACCCTTCAGTCCCCAAGCCGATGCTCTATCCATTGAGCCAAACCGGTTTCAGCTTTTATCCTTTTTTTTTTTTTTTTTTTTTTTTTTTAATATTTACTTATCTTATCTTTAATTAAAAGTGGATTGCTTGAGTTCAGCATACATTTGAGTGTTGCTTTTTATCCAGCCTTACATTCTGTCTCATAGTTGTATTGTTCTTCCTATTTGTTTTTAATATAATTAGTAATATAAATACCCATATGCTTGGATATTTGTCCATCTGGTCTTTGTTTCTTCTTCTCTTCTTTCTTGATTTTCCTTGGGTTGAGTATTTTTTTATTCCTTACTTGAGGATATGTTTTTACTGATTTGAGAGAGAGAGGAAGGGAGAGAGGAAGAAAAGGAAAGGGCGGGAAAGAGAGATTTGGAGGAAAAGAGAGATTTGTAAGAGAGAAATATCGATCCATTACCTCCCATACATGCCCCACCTGAGGACTGAACCTGCAACCTATTAATAGGTATGTGCCCTGACCTGGAATCAACCCCACAACCTTTTTAGTGTACAGATAGCACTCCAACCAATTGAGCCACCCAACCAGGGCTGGATCGAGTATTTTTCATGATTCCTGAATATCTCCACTATTGGCTTGTTAGCCTTGCTTTGTTTCCTACTCTGTAGACAGAATGATCCCTTAAAATCCCAGATCTTACTTTGCCATGTTCCTGCTTAGAATCCTAACAATGATCTATCCCTATTTCTCTCTCCATTCCATTTCGTGTGACTTTTTCCCCTGTACATTGCGTATCAGTCCCTTGGGCCTCTTTAGTTCCCTGGAGCACAGAGCTCCCTCCTCCCTCAGGGTCTTTGAGGCAATGTTCCCTCTGCCCAGGGTGCTCTTTTTCCCTTTCTTCCTTGGTTAAGTGTGTGCTCGTGCTTGATGTCAACTTAAATGCAAGCTTATTGTTTCCCTGATCTCTCACTGCGCTATGCACATTTTTTTTTTACAACACTTGTCACGATATTCCATGATTAATTTCATTTTATTCTTCTAGATAATAATTATTTGCCTCCTGCACATGTGACCCGAGTGAGGTCCTCAAAGACAGGTGCTGGGCTGCATTTGTCTTAGAATTTCTGGTGCCTGTCACAGTGCCTGGCATGAACAAGAGCTCGATGATTGAGGATGGAACTCTTAGGATTTAAGGTCCCGCAGCTAGAACCAAGGTCATCATGTCACTCATGGGTATGTTTCATTGGAACTGCACGGTGTTAAAACAAGTTCAATGCCAACATTGACAACATGAGAGATATATAAGAATCTGGATTGCTGGTTTCTCTTAAAAAACAAACACACAAACAAATGAAATCTGGACATGGTGACGCTGACCTAACTCCTGCATTGGCCTGGTCCTAAATCCTCATGACCCTTCAGATAGGACACAGGTCTGGTCAATAGTGCTTACTGGACTTAGTTCTCATCGAGGCCAGAATATCTGAGTTTGTGACCTTTGTACTAGTAAGAAGCTTCACTGGGATTTTGTTGTATCTTTTCCTTTTCCCCAAAAGATACTATGACATTGATAACCAATCTTTACTGTAGACAGAACTTTCACTCTGTTGATAAGAAGGATTTGAGTGTAAAATTATCAGAGGCTGAGAAATGTTAAAAGCTCAAATGACGTCCTGTGAGTAATAATATAATTTCAGTCTAAATCAGTGGTCAGCAAACTGCAGCTCGAGAGCCACATGCAGCTCTTTGGCTCCTTGAGTGTGGCTCTTCCACGAAACACCACATGCGGGCGCACACGTACAGTGCGATTGGAACTTCGTGACCCATGCACCGAAGTCGGTTTTCGGCTCTCAAAAGAAATTTCAATCCTTGTGCTATTGATATTCGGCTCTGTTGACTAATGAGTTTGCCAACCACTGGTCTAAATCAAACAGGAAAAAAAGCATTTATGAGGAAGAGTCTCTGCTGCTCAACAGGAAGGATTATCTCTGGAAAGTTGCAAAACAGCTTTTGTAGCAAAGCACAAACAGGGCTGATAAGGGAAGCTGCCCTCTCAGGGTGGACTTGTCTATTGACTGGAACATGCGTGGTGAATTGTCCACAAGGTTCATCTCAAACCCAGCTGCTAGCCCTCAGTCAGTGCCTCATGCTTCTTGGCCTCATGAGGTTAAGAAAGAATATTTCTGGACACGATGCATCCAGTGTTTCAACTGTTGAAACAGCACAGGGAATGCCCACAGTAGAACATGGCATTCTTCCCATTGCCTTCACAAGCTCTCTAAAGGACAAAACGTGGCATTCTGCGGAGGTGAGAGAGAACATTGGAAGCTCTTCCTCGCTTTCTTTGGATAAGGGCATGCTCCTTCCTCAGATATCAGCTTCAATGTCAGTTTACTCATTCCCTGGTCTCTGATTATACATCTCACAGTATAGATGTGTATATGTCTGTATATCATCTGTGCTTATGCTATGAGTATATATACACATAGAAGCATTATGTATTATATTTGTAAAACAGCATCCATCACAATTTTAGTTAAATATTTGTGAGATTACATGATTAATGATATTTTCTCCCACTTTATTTAAGAGAAAGCCCAGGAGTTTTGGGGTCAGAACTATAATTTTTGGTTGTACCACTTGCTAAGTGCATGAACTTAGGAAAGTTTCTTAGCCTCCTTTTTAGCTCCAGTTTTCTCATTCATTATTACATAATATAATCTTTTTTTCTAGCAATAATATTATTATTTTTAATGGGTATGAAGACCAGAAAATATATGCAAAATATCTGGCACCTAGATGTGTGACTGCCTGCGGTAATACACCTCAGTATTTGGGTTACTTCCTTTCCCAGCCATTTTACAATTGATATGGCCTCTTGCTTTATGTTTCACTTCTGATAAGATATATCTTAAGTGCGCTTGAGTTCTCTTAACACATGTGAGAAAGATTAAAGGTCATGATATATTTATTCTAAAGAAGGTAAAAACTGGCAATAAGATTATGTAATTACTCATAACCACCAGTAAGATTAGTAAATTCCAGAGCATGGGGAAAATAACACATAGTCTCCACTTTCTAATCCAGTTCTCAGGTCCTCGGTTTAGTTCAGTACTCATCATCATCTTCATCATTATCATTATCACCATCAATATCACTATCACCACCACAATCATCATTGTCACCATCACCAACATCAACATCACCACCATCATCATCATCATCATCACCATATCACCACCATCATCATCATCACCATTGCCACTACCATCATCATCATTGCTACCACCATCATCATCATCATCACCACATATTACCATCATCACCACCATCAT